AGTTTTGATAAAGGATTATCTTGACATAATTTACTAGAATGTGGATGCTAGGAAAATGTGCGTCTATAGGATTACAAAGCACACAGTTCACTAATCAAGAGAAAGGTAAAAAAAAAAATTACTGTACTTTGGTCAGAATGATCACAACTCACTGTTAGAGACTACTGCCTTGTTAAAACAAAACTGGTACAGCAATGGACAAAGGTGGTGCTGGAAGAGTTTTGTGGAGAAATGCCATTGCTCTTCAGTCTTTAAGGTTTGCATCTTAAATAATTATTAAAAGATATATGGATAGAAAGCCTTCCTTATCTTTTTTATTATTATTATTATGCAGATTACTTACAGACTACTTGTTAGTTAAATATAGATGAGAAATGATCTAGTGCTTTCATATTTGAAGTGGTACTGGATGCTGTGGAGTGAGTCAGACCTCACTGAAGCTGATTAATACAGCAGTTGCTCTTTATTTGTAACAGATTAAATTAGAATGATAGGAATTGTCACCCAAAACACAGCCCCCAGGCAAGGCCGATCAGAGCCCAGCAGCGTGTTTCTGACTACCAAAATAGAGATCTGCTTATCTTATGGATCAGCATGTCTCATTATATGAGACAGATAGACTTAAAAACTCTGTGGAAGAAGCAGGGGGTGGTCACGCTGAGCTGGCAAAATGCTTAGAGATCTCTACAGAAAGCTGAGTGAGAAGGAGCCCCGAGTGATGTGCTCACTTGAAAAAAGCACTGGCATATTGAGCAAAGGAACAGCCTCCCATTTGTTTCTCTGAGATTTTTTGTAAACAAAGAAAAATGTATATCAGAGAAATACCCACCTGAATGACTTGTCATCAGGCAATCAGAAACAACCTGGAAAATGGTTATGCCTGAGCTCAAATAAAGACTAACAGGTACAAAAGGAGAAGCCCAAAGGGGACACACACACACACACACACACACACACATTCCTCCACGTTCACTGCCAAAGGGGGAGTGCTTTATAAAATAATTTCCTTCACCAGGACCCATTTCTCAGAGCATAGATGGAGCTGCACTCATAATTCATTGTTCTGGACAATGAACTGAATACACAAAGCGAGGCATTTAGTAAGTCTCAGCGAAAGCTACTTAATACTAACCATGCATATATACGCATTAATTTTATTTCTTGCTCCTACCTATTCCTCTAAAAGCTCACTAAACATTACTCTTCCTTTACGGTGTTTAAGCGACCTTTTCTGAGAGACCCCGGCCCTTCCCCTGCCGGCGCTTCGCGGGGAGCGCTCCCGCCCGCGCCCGCCCTCAGGTAACGGCGCGCGGTGCTGCCTGAGGGGGCTCAGCGCAGCCCCCGCCTCCAGCCAAGCGCGGGGCCGCTCCCGCCGCCTCAGCCCCCAGCCCGGGCGGGAGAGCGGGCCGCGTCCCCGCCGCCCCGGCTGTGACTCCGCTGGCCC